TCTCCAAGTGCGAGTTTTGGTTGCGTGAGGTACAGTTCCTTGGTCACCTCATCAACCAGAAGGGTATTTTGGTAGATCCGGCCAAGATTGAGGCTGTGATGCAGTGGGAAGTTCCGAGGTCTCCATCCGAGATTCGGAGTTTCCTAGGATTGGCAGGGTATTACAGGAGATTCATCCAGGATTTCTCCAAGATAGCAGTACCGCTCACCCGACTGACCAAGAAGTCGGTAGCGTTTCGTTGGTGGCCTGATCAGCAGGTAGCATTTGAGACCCTCAAACAGAGATTGTGTGAGGCACCGATTCTTACCCTACCAGAGGGAGTGGAGGATTTTGTAGTTTACTGTGATGCCTCGATCACAGGTATTGGAGCAATGTTGATGCAACGAGGTCGTGTGATAGCCTACACCTCGAGACAATTGAAGCCTCACGAGGCTAACTATCCTACACATGATTTAGAGCTGGGGGCAGTGGTGTTTGCCCTCAAGATTTGGAGACATTACCTTTATGGGGTCTGTTGTACCATTTACACGGATCACAAGAGTTTGAAGTACCCCATGGATCAGTCGAATCTGAATATGAGGCAAAGGCGATGGTTGGATGTGTTGAAGGATTACGACTGTGAGATCCTTTATCACCCGGGGAAAGCCAATGTAGTGGCCGACGCCTTGAGCTGCAAGGCAGTAGCGGCTCCGATCAGAGACATTTGTTTGAGGATGATGGTGATTGCTCCATTGTTGGAGCAAATTAAAGAGTCACAGGTAGAAGGCCTCAAGGAGGAGAGACAGAAGTGTGAGAGGATCGTGGGCCGAGTAGCTTCTTTTGACTATGATAGTAGAGGATTGTTGACCCTTCACGGGAGAGTTTGGGTGTCGTACTAGCGCAGCGTATGGCAAGTGTTGATGGATGAGGCCCATAAGTCTCAATTTTTCATTCATTTGGGGGCTACGAAGATGTATAGAGATCTTCAACCCTATTATTGGTGGCCGTGCATGAAGCTGGATGTCGCCTGGTATGTGGAGAGGTGTCTGACCTGCAGGAAGGTTAAGGCAGAACACTAGAGACCTCACGGAAAGATGCAGCCATTAGAGATTCCGTTGTGGAAATGGGAAGACATTACCATGGATTTCATCACAAAGCTTCCCAGGACTGCGCGTGGAGTGGATTCTATATGGGTTATTGTGGATCGGTTGACGAAGAGCGCTCATTTTATACCGATTCAGGAGAGCATATCAGTAGAAAAGTTAGCTGATATTTATGTGAGGGAGGTAGTGGCACGTCATGGAGTGCCTGTTTTGGTGGTGTCAGACCGAGATGTCCGTTTCCCTTCCAGATTCTGGAAGCGGTCTCACGACGAGATGAGTACTCATCTCCATTTTAGCACCGCTTTCCATCCTCAGACGGACGGACAAAGTGAGAGAACGATTCAGACCCTCGAGGACATGCTGCGGGCATGTGTTCTAGACTTTGGTGGCAGTTGGGATACGTACCTTCCGTTAGCAGAATTTTTGTATAACAACAGTTACCACGCAATCATCGATCGACCTCCTTTCGAAATGCTCTATGGGAGGAAGTGCATGACCCCGATTTGTTGGGGCGAGGACAGTCAGCGAGTCATTGGGAGCACTGAGGTGGTGCTCAAGACGATAGAATTGATCCAGCAAGTTTGTGGCAGACTGCAGACTGCTCAGAGTCGGTAGAAGAGTTACGTCGATAGGAGGTGTTCAGATTTGGATATTCAGGTGGGCGATATGGTCCTCCTGAAGGTTTCGCCCTAGAAGGGTGTTATCAGATTTCGGAAGAGGGGTAAGCTGGGCCCCAGGTTCATTGGTCCTTTTAGGGTTTTGGCCCGGGTGGGTCGGGTTGCTTATCAGTTAGATCTTCCGTCAGAGCTTAGCCAGTTCCACAACACTTTCCATGTTTCTCAACTGAGGAAGTGTTTGGTGGACGAGTTAGCAATAGTGCCCATTGAGGATATTCAGGTTGATAGCAGCCTGAATGATGTCGAGAAGCCAGTTACGATCTTGGATCGGAAGGTGAAGACCTTGAGGAACAAAGTGATTCAGTTGGTAAAGGTGCAGTGGTAGCACTGTAAGGGTTCTGAGTGGACGTGGGAGTCCGTGGAGGAGATGCGGGGACATTACCCCGAGTTGTTCTTGGATTCGACAGCAGCAGACTTTGAGGAGGAAGTCTGAGACAACTGGGGGAGGGTTGTAACACCCCAATTGTGGTATGATATTTATATTGTTATTTATTGTTATATTTCTTCAAGTTTTAAGGGGAACTCGACGAGTCAGTTGCTGGACTTGTCAAGTTAGGTCGCGATTTCGAGCACGTTTAAGTTGGCGACTCGGCGAGTCCGCCAGTCTGGATGAAACCCTAATTTCAAGGGTTTGCACCCTATATAAACGACTTTTGGGGCCTCAAGTCAGCCCCCATCACCCCTCAGAGCTTCATTCTCGAAACCCTAGAGCCCTTTTTGCAATTTGTGTGATTTTGGTGTGTTATTTGAAGATTTTGAGAGACAAAGAAAGGTAGATCAAGAGGTGAAGAAGGAGATCCTAGATATTTGAGGAATTTCAGAAGAAAGTAAGGTATATATTGGCCCTTTTCTGTTTCTATGCTTAAATCTCCTTTGTGAAGCCATTCTTAAACCATTTCTTAGCTTAGTAGTGGCATAGAGGACTCATGGAGTTGATTAACCTTCAGATCTAGCTAGATTTGATTTCCAGGAGCTTAGATCTAGCACCTTTATGGATCCATTTTGCATGAAAGCTCTAGATCTACTATTATAGTGTGCTTTTAACCTTAAAACTTCCATTTGATGTTATTTACACGTAAAGTGGGAAACTTTACGTGTAAATCGAGTCCCAGGAACCCAGATCTACTAATGGCATGGATTAGTTTCAAGCAGAATCGAGTGTATAGTATTTGCATGCATACTACTCGGCGAGTCGTTCTTCTGACTCGGCGAGTCGAGTCGTGAGTCCCTTGTGTTTCCTTTTTCGAGTTATGCCGAGTGGAGCCAGTGAGTGAGAAGTGGACTCGGTGAGTTAGAGGGTTAGACTCATTCATGGAAGAACTCGGCGAGTCAATGCCCTGACTCAGCGAGTCCAACGCCATCTTCATACTTCAAGAACAGACTCGATGAGTTGTTCATACAACTCGGCGAGTCACAGCTAGAATAGTCATCTGATGAAGGAGAACTCGACGAGTTGTTCATACAACTCGGCGAGTCAGATGCAGATTTTCAGAGTGTTAGTAGCGAAGAGGAACTCGCCGAGTTTGCGCCAAAACTCGACGAGTAGTAGTGAGTGGAATCAAGGAAGTAAGAGTAAGAACTTGACGAGTTGGCGGCCCAACTCGACGAGTCAGGTCAACTGAATGTTGACTTTGAAAGTTAGGTTGACTTGGACCAGGGGTAGGAGAGTCATTTTACCCTCAGTATTATTATTATCAGTATTTGATAAATGGTGCTCATGGATATTGTAGTCGGGGTGAAACCGGAGACGTAACAGAAAGATTCCAGAGCAGTCCTTTCAGCAGCTAGGCTACGAGGTGAGTTTCCTTCCAGTAGGAACGGGTCTAAGGCCACAATGTCGGCCCGTTTAGTAGCAGTAGTTTTTGGAATTTGGTCCGATGCAGTTGTTAGTTTGTTTGATGCCTTCGTGGCTCAGACAGGATTTATATGTTAAGTGTTATGGGCTACGGCCTGACGTAGTATGCAGTATATGAGTTTATGATCATGTGTGTTATGTTAGTTGATATGTGTTTTTGCTATGCTATGCTATGCCCAATTAGTTTCCGGACTTCGGTCTGATGCAGTCAGTTCCGGACTTCAGTCCGATGCAGGGGACAAGGTCCCAGTCAGTTCCGGACTTCGGTCCGATGTAGGGGACAAGGTCCCAGTCAGTTCCGGACTCCGCTCCGATGCAGTTTCTGGGCTTCGGCCCGATGCAATGGACAAGGCTCAGTACGTGTTTATATGCTATTGTATGGTATGTGGTATTTTGGGGGAGCTCACTAAGCTTCGTGCTTACAGTTTTAGTTTTGGTTTCAGGTACTTCTGCGAGTAAGGGGAAGAGCTCGGGATGATGGCATCGCACGCACCACAACTTCAGTCTTTATCCTGGGAGTTTGTTTTGATTCATAGTTTGATTTTATACAGTTGTTTCACAACATTTTATTATGAGTTGAGATATTTGACATATGGTTTTTATGATATGACGATCAGTATATGATTCTTATTACTATTTAAACAAAAAAATTTGGGTCGTATTTTGGAATGTTACAAGATTTTGGTCGATCCGGCCAAGGTGGAGGCGGTTATGCAGTGGGAGTCTCCGAAATCTCCGTCAGACATCAGGAGTTTCTTGGGATTAGCAGGGTACTACCGGAGATTTATTCGAGATTTTTCCAAGATCGCAGTACCCCTCACTCATCTTACGAGGAAGGGGTTGGATTTCCAGTGGGGACACTACAAAAAAAAAAAGCCATTTAGTGGCATACAAAAAGTGCCACAGAAAACTTAAAAAATGCCACTAAAGACCCTACTAAGAATCAGCGGCACACAAAAAAAGTGTCACTAAGAGTGATACCACTAAAGCCTTTTAGTGGCACTTTTTGGTTTGTCACTGCAAACCTTTAAGGTTTTAATGGCACTTTTTTTGCCACAATATACAAAAAAGATTTTGTGGCACAAGTTTTGTGCCGGTAAAAACTATTGTTATTTAAAATCTATACCACATTTAGTGGCACATAATTTTTGCTACAAAAACCATATTCTCAATTTAAATGTCATTATGGACAGTTAACATATTAGCTTTGATTAGTTAAAATCATTAATTATAAAAGATAAACAAAACAATAAATTGTAAAATCATAATACCATCATTTCAATTAAAAGTTAAATCGTTTTCCAAAAACGTTCCAAATGTTTGGAAACAAATTCATACTAAGTGTCAATTTAAGTCTAAAAATCTAACATAAAACACAAAAAATCATTACGCTCTTAAATCTCTCTCAAAGTCTTCATGGAAGTAATGTGATCCTTGTGTAAACTCTTTCTTACCAATGATACTAGTGGTTACCTGTTAAAAAAAACAAACACCTTTCAATATGCATACAATGAAAACATGATTCAAAATGCAAGTAAAAGTTTTGTCTAATACATATGTGAAAAGTTGAAACAGTAAAGTATATACCATTGTTATCCTGACTTCTTACTGGTGATATCTGGTTAACTGATATAGAATTGTTAGGGACTGAAGAAATACCAGGGACCTAAAACATATTAATGAAAACAAATTAACATGATTAATACATAAAATATAAACTAAGTAATAGTGCATGTAATTACCTCTATGTTCATATTTCTAAGAACTGCAGACAAGTTTGCATTAGGGATATGTTCTTGGATGATGTTTGCCATAACGTTGACAACACTCTTTAGTTGATGAACAGTTTGTGAATCTGATGAAGAGTCACCATTCTTTTTTGCAGCCGGCATCCTTCCTACTAATCGAACATACCCCCTTTTCTCTGGGCCTTTAACCTTTGAGTAGTCATCATTTGTAATATCACTTGAATCTCTAGGTGTGCTTATGGAGTCACTTGCAATAGCTTTCAATGAAGCCTAAATATATCATAACACATGTAATATTTAAAAAATAAACATACATATGATAAAACATAAACATATATATGATAGGAACATTTAAAATACATAAAAGTGCATTACCACAACTTCAGCAGCTTTATCATCAACAATACTTCCATCTTTACGAGTGCGGGTTGTTACATACATTTCTCCTCGTGATGGGTATACACCATTATTATTTATTGCCTATAAAAGGAAAAAAGATATGTTTAATATATAGCTATTAAAGGAAATAAAAACCAAAAAAGACAAAATAAATAAATAAATAAATAAATAAAACTAAAAAAACAAGAATAATACCATTTCATGAGCAAGTCTAGCAAATGATTTCGTTCCCGTAACATGAGGCTCGTGCATCTTTTCACGACTCATTCTTTTTACAGCACATGTACTCTAAGGTAAATAGTAAATTATTACACATTCTTCAAATATACATAAAATGAAACTTACAGATCTACCTGAAATTCAGAAGTGAACCAACGAGTAACTAATTCTTTAAATTGAGTTGGATTCACTCTATTGTCTTTTTTAGTTTGTTGTGTCACAATTTCATCAATAGAAAGGCTAGGATCATACGCACGTGTCTTTAATGAACCTTTCCATGTTCTCCATTTTTTTCCCATGCTATGAAAGATCCATTTTTTAATCTCACTAGTCTCAACTGGATGAAATATAAACTTGGACTACACATAAAAGAATTAATATGTTAGCTTATATGAATACAAAAAGAAAATCCTTTATCAAGTATTATAAGTGATATATACCTTAACCAGTGAATACATATCCTCTTTCTTTTGTATGGGAACCTTTCTCCAGTCAGAATATTCTATTGAAACATGATCGGCCATCCTCACAAGCGTTCCAAGGTATTGAACAAGTTCATTACCTTCATCCCCCACTGGCTTTCCGAAGTTATTAAATGTGACAACTATTCTTTGTGTACTATTCATTTTCCATGTTTCTGATTTTTGGGTATAACCTCTGACCTTTTTGGGAGCACCTAAACAATAGCAACCAAAAAAATGTAACTCAATAGCAACCGGGGAATAATCAACAAAAATCGAAATAGTGACATTCTATCATATTTTGTCAACACAGGGACCTATTTTGTAAATTTCATAGGACCAAATCTGTAAAATCAATTCAGCAAAAGGACCTATAGTTGATCATTAACATATCAGTAAAACGACAATTTTTGTATAAATAATTCAGCAAAAACATGGTTATTGTTAAAAAAATTGTTAGATATAATCTAATTAAAGAAGATTTTAACAATATCAAATTTTAAATAAATTGTGAAACCTAAGGGTGTAAACTGAAAAGTTTAAAACCAAATATGAAAAGAAATATGGGATGAGGGGTTACAGGGGAAATAAGAGTCAAAACCAGGGACATATATTGTAACTTTGGATTTGAAAGCCAAAAGCAAAATTACTTTGTTTCTTACTCTGTTTCTTACGTCTTTTTCTTTTTAAAGACAAAAGAAAATATCCTACCAATAAACCTCTGTTTCTTTTATAATTTCAAACCGCTGTTTTTTGTAATGACTATTATACCCCTATTTCTTTTTAATTTTCATACACATGTTCTTTATAATGACATTATAACCCTCTTTCTTTTTATATTTCAATCCTCTGTTCTTTTATAATTACCATTAATCTATTATACCATATGGTAATTTTGTGTTGGAGTAACTAAGATACCTTGTTCGTTTGCACCTATCTCACACTCCGAAGATTGTTGGTTAGATTGTTGATTAATAGATTGAAATTCTTCACAATTTGATTGAACATCTTCAGTTTCAGTAGCCCCATGGTCTTCAATGAGCTCGTTGATTTCAGTAGAAGTGATACATAGCCTCTTTCGCCTTCCCATACTGTCTATTCAAAACACATGCAATACAGACATCAATATTGGCCATATAATTAATATTAAAATAATATTCAATAAACAAAAGATGCATTGCAAGTATCATAAATCTAACGCACACACATGTATAACAGATAAAAACACCACTATATAGCACCTAATGATACAATTGTCCAAAAAGTACACCAAGATTTAAGACATAATATTAATGACTAATCAAAAAAGAATAAAGTCATCATCGCTTTCTTCAACATCTTCTTCATGTTCCATCTCAGGGGTAATGTCTATGCCATCTTCACCATCATCCCCAATCCTATGCAAATTAGGCACATCAAATGTGCAATCATTAGAATAAGGAGAAACCTGAGTATCGACACCTCCCATGTCAAATACATCTCTTAATTTTACATGTTTGACAATTTCCCAATCTTTCTGCTTAGGATCTGTGACATAGAAAACTTTCTCAACTTGTGATGCCAATACGAAGGGATCATCTGTTAAATTAGCACCTGTATGTGCCCTGTATGAGAAATTCACCAATGTTACACCATTATCTTTCTTGCAGCCCCTATTGATGTCAACCCACTCACATTTGAATTAAACTACTCGTATTTGACCTGAGTAGTTTAACTCAATAATGTCACTCAATTTACCATAGTAGTTAATCACGCTATGAACAGGCCTTCTATCTCGACTACTAGCATAATTTGCACCTTCTACAGTAACAACGACACCACTATTTTGGGTTCTTAGTGATTTCTCTCGATTTTTTGTATGAAAACGGTAACCCTTAACAAGGTATCCAGAGTATCGTTGCACACTTCTAAGTGGACCACGAGCAAGCCATTTTAGGTCTTCAGTTACTTCATCACCTTGTGCTTCCATACGTGCAACCTACAACATAGATGTTAATAGTCTTAAAACTAATATCCTAAATGAAAAATTATAACATATTCAACATTTTTTCGAATTACCCTTCTCTTGAACCAATCACTAAACTATTGGGCATGAATCTTGTCGATTTCATAATCTGGTAGCCGACGAGAACGGTTTTGTCCCTTGACTATCCGTTTGTGTTCCCTTAAAAAAACCATATTAATATTTTTGTGTGAAAGATGAATGAATAGAAAGAGTTTCTAATAACATAAAAATCATGAATTGTCTTACTCTCGAAAAGGTGAAACTGACTCGACATTGAATAGTACATAACGATGAGCTTGAGAAAGTGACTTTTCATCAATGACTGAATTTGAAGATCTCCTCCTTCTTTTGTGAAAAGATAGTCCCGAATGCAATTTATGCCCTATAGCACGACCGGGGCAAAGATTGTTGGATTCTTCAATGTCATTTTGTTGACCCTCATCATCATTCCTAACTGGTCTACTGAAGACGGTTTCTACTTTCGATATATATCTGGAGCAAAAAGTTATACTTTCTTCAGCTATATAACCTTCAGCAATTGATCCTTCCGGACAAGCTCTATTATGAACGTATGACTTAAGTTTACAAAGGTACCTGTAGTGCCATAGTTACAAGTCATTGATTATTTATAAGTTTTAAATTTTTAAAAAAACAATAAATAAACTTTATAGAAATGTTACGTACCTTTCAATAGGGTACATCCAACGAAATGCAACAGGACCTCCAAGCCTCACCTCTCTGGTTAAATGGATTACCAAGTGTACCATTACAGTAAAGAAGGAAGGCGGAAATATTTTCTCTAATTTGCATAGAGTGAGAGAAACTTTAGCCTCAATAAAATTTAGATCATCATCAGATAAATCCTTGTAGCAAATGATCCTAAAAAAATCGCATAATTCAATTATGACCGAGCTTACATGGTCCGGTAAAGTTCCACGTAATGCAATCGACAAATACTCTTGCATCAACACGTGACAATCATAACTTTTCATCCCAATTAGTTTGCGCTCATTTAAATGAACACATCGAGAGATATTGCATGAAAACTCATCAGGTGGTTTGATTGACTTGAGACATTTTAAAAATTCAGTCTTTTCAGCCCTGGACATCTGATAGCAGGCTTTTGGTATGAAAGTAACATTACTTCTAGGTCGTTTCTTTGGATGCATTTCCTTTCTCATACCTAATTCTTGTAAGTCAAGCCTTGTTTTATAGTTATCTTTGGACTTTTTTTCTTGTCCTAATACTGTCCCCACTATGTTGTCTTGCACATTTTTTTCAATGTGCATCGGATCAAGATTGTGACGTAAAAGCAAATGTTCCCAATATTGCAACATAAAAAAAATACTTTTCTTTTTCCATGGACCGCCATTAACATTGTCAACAAGAAATTCTGTATTTTCTAGTTTTTGTAGAATCTCCTTTCCAGAAGAAGGAACTGGAGCTACTCTTAATTCGTGGCGTCCAAGAAATGATCTAGTGTCTAAACGCCAACGATGGTCAACTGGAAGCCACCTCCTATGACACATATAACACCACTTTCTTCCATTGGTTAGCCATTTGGAATCAGTATCAAAACCACATATAGGACATGCAAGTTCTCCTTTAGTGCTCCATCCTGACAGATTGGCATAACCTGGAAAATCTGATATGGTAGAAATAAGAGCAGCCTTCAACTGGAAGTGTTGTTTCGTTGATGCATCAAATGTATTAACTCCATCCTCCCATAACTCCTTCAACTCTTTAATCAGAGGTTGCATATACACGTCTATTTTGTTTCCAGGACTTTTTGGACCCGGAATGATTAAAGAAAGAATGAAATTTGGTTGCTTCATAACCAACCATGGAGGCAAGTTGTATGGAATAAGAAAAACTGGCCAAATACTGTGTGCCACATTCATTGTCCTAAACGGGTTGAAACCATCACTCGACAAAGCTAGGCGAACATTACGAGGATCACGAGCAAATTCTGGAAACTTTTCATCAAAATCTTTCCAATTTAATGCATCTGCTGGGTGTCGCAACTTTCCATCTTTTACACGATCCACATGATGCCACTTCATAAAATTAGCTGTCTTTGATGACATAAACAATCTCTGAAGTCTAGGCTTTAGAGGAAACCACCGCAATATTTTTGATGCCTTTTTCTTGGGAGGACTCACTTCTTGTTCTGGATTAGCTTCATGAACTTCCCACCTAGAAGACCCACAAAAGGAACAAACTTCATCTTTCTCCTTGTCATCCCAAAACAACATGCAACCATTAGGACATGAATGAATTTTTTCATATCCTAATCCCAAGTTAGCCATTATTTTTTTTACTTGATGTGTTGATTTAGGTAACACATTTCTTTCAGGTAACAAATCCTTTAAAAACTCTAACAACATAGAGAAAGATTTGTTACTCCAACCACCAAGACACTTTAAATGGTACAAATACACCACACATGATAATTTGTTGTATTTGCAATTCGGATACACTTTCTCTTCAGCCTCCTTCATAAGGTCATCGAATTTATTTCTCCCATTTCCCATCTCTTGACTATTATTTAAGGCATTCTCATGTATTTCCTCTCCCCTTCCACCTTCCATCTCAAAAATATCATTCAACATTTCATGCATTTCATGGTGAAATATGCTTTCTTCTTCGTTATGGGTTGTGCTTGTTGATGCAACTGCTGTGTCCTCCCCATGATATACCCATTTCAAGTAGTTTGGACAGAACCCTGAACATATGAGGTGATCTAGAACAATTTGTCTATTCTGATATTCCATGTTTATACAGTTTGTACATGGACACTTTATCATCCCCCCATTGACACTTGTTCTCTCAAATGCAAAATTCAAGAAGTTTAGCACACCATTAACAAAAGTTTGACTTGATCTTGGTGCAAGATACATCCAAGATCTGTCCATGACTTATAGTGAAAAACAACAGAAGATTAACTATAAAAAAAGAAATGGTATTAGTATAAGATGCTTCTCAAACTTTTTATCAGGCATGAGTATGAGTAATTAGGTCTCACAATTAGGAAACAGAAATGACAGCACTAAAAAAACCAACAAAGAAAATAGAATGAATACCTGCTGAAGTAGCTAACTCCTATGGAGGAAAATGTAGCAGAGAAAAATCGTAGTTGCAACAAGGAACCAATTGACCCAGTAGGCTTGGACCAGAGATTGATGGTGGTACCTGTAATCGAATCGTTAGTAGGAAGCAGAGATCGGTGAAATTTTAAAAGGTGCTAGTGAACCCGAGTGAAGGTGAAACTTAACCTAAAGTTCGCCAGTAAGGTTGGTTTTGTTGAAATTGTTTGAAGGATGAGGAAATCACGACTATAACCATTCAAAACTATAATTTCACAGCAGGAATTTTCAGTAGAGGGATGGGGAATTTCCCTGGCGGTCGATTTCAACTTTTAATGGAGGGAAACTAAAAATTTCACCTGATTCTGGAGGGAAAGGGGAAGCCAAGCTGAAATTTTTACTAGATGCACAAGAGAAGGGGAAAACGAGCCACAAATGAAAATGAAAGTTAGATCTAAATTAATGGCACATTAGTTCTATTCTAAAATACTTTACACGCATCATTTAAAAAGTGAATATATTTTTCATTTACAATAAGATAAGATGCTTTTTTAGGTTTTAATGACACATTATATTTTTATCCCATCGTTAATTCTAGGCCTCATTTTTTAAGTTTTAATGGCACATATATTTTTTTTATCCTATCCTTAATTCTAAGCCTCACTCTATAAATATAAATATTTCATGTAAAGATAAATTGAAGCATCGTAATATGGGATATATATATTTGTTTTGTTCCACTTAATTCTATATAAAAGGAGATAAAATATAAAATGCCATTAAAATTAGTTCTCTTTTTTATGGCATATGCAAAGAGCCATTGAAAAGCAAAATTAGTGGCACAAAAGATAAATGCCACTAAAAATGTGTGCCACTAAATGGCTTTTTTTTTGTAGTGGGACCTGAGCAGCAGAGGGCGTTTGAGACTCCTCCGGTAGTGTTTATGTGAGGTGCCAGTGTTGACACTCCCCGAGGGAGTTGAGGACTTTGTAGTGTTTT